GGGGAGGGTGTGCTCCGGTGTTCGCATCGAGGCGATCGCCCCTTTGGTATTTCGGATACATCGGTCATCCGAGTTGGTAACGCCCATAGGCTAACATCATGGCTTGTTCGGCTGCTACACAGAAGGATACACGCCTACCGCTGCCAGCGCCAGGGACCGAACCCGGCGCTGCCAACTCAGCGTCCTCGCCTCGTTCGCAACCAACTGAGCCACTGAGCCCGACGCAGGGGCGAGTACGGACGACGAAACACATTCCAGCCTTTGTCTCGCCGGCCCGACGACATCGCCGGGCACGCCGCTTCCCCTCCTCTTCCTCCGTCCCTCTCCCTCCGGGGAGGTCGGGTGCGGGAGAGGGGGAAGAGGTTTCTAACGTGTTTCCAAAAACAGCACATAAAGAGCAGTTTTGGCTCGCAGAGGCGGCGATTAGAAGTAGCCGCCTTACGGCAACTAACATTTCCCAACCGACGGCCGCAAGAGTCACCACCACAGAGGAAAGATTTTTCACGCCCGTGCGGGGTGAAGCGCATTGGGAAGTTTTGTCAAGCCGAGGCGGCGAATAGCGGTTGCCGCCAGCGCGGCGAGAAAAGTAACCTCTGAGCGAGGGTAAGAATTCTTACCCTCAACACGGGAGACGCGACGGCACATTACCCCGAGCAGGGCGACAAATCGTTTCTTGCCGCGCGTGAAGTGATAGTCGAAAATTGTCACCCTCGGCAGGGTAATATCTGCGCAAAAGTTACCTTTCGGCTTTACAGTGCATACTTACTTCAATTCTTTCTCTTTCCTGTGTAGAGTCTGTTGTGTCCGATGGGGAGCAGGAGATTGGGCAAAGTAACTTCCTCGAGAGTGACAGTTAATCTGATGATTTATTGGCAGACGAGCGGACTATTTATACGACAAGACAATTGACAGATGACGTGTTACCAACGTAAGACAATACATGACAGTCCGGCTACTCATCAGACAGCTCTGGCGCGCCGCCTGCCATGCTCCGACGTGCTGCCACGAGGTCCCGGTCCTGGTCGCCTCTCCAACGCACCTTCGTCCGCACGCCGTCCTCGTCACCACCTACCAAGGCCAGCCTCCACTCAGCCGACCTCAGTGCGGCGTCCGAATTGGACCTCTCCGATCCGGCCGTCCTCCTGGCAGCCTCGGACCGCGCCCAGGCTGCCCCTGAGGCTGACCAGGCCCAGTGGGCCATGGACCTGAGCGCTGAGAGGGGCGACGCCGACCTGGAGGCTTCCATGCTGGGCAGCATCCCCTCTCCGAGACCTTGCTACACAGATCTGGCCCTGTCCGACGGCGAGGGGTGTGGCTGCCCCGCCGGCTTACAACAGCTGTCTACCAGACTCTCCGGAAAAAGCACTTACTGCCACAAATACGCGTGGTTGACATCCTTCCCAGCACCAACTGGGATGTAGTATGGAAGGTAGTGCAATGTCGTATGCTTACAATGGCGGCACGTAGCAAGTGGTTTGCTGTGGTCCACGACATCTTTCCCACAAATGAAAGGTTACATAAAATTAAGCTTGCAGACACAGACAAGTGCGACCAATGCAATAAGTGGGACACTATACTGCACTGGGCAACATGCTGCGGGATGGCTAAAGATGTGTGGAACTGGCTCAAGCCGGAACTAACTAAGATCCTATCAAGTCCCATACATCAGGACTATATTATTCGCCCTGACATTGAAGGTACCTCTGTAAAACATCTCAATTCTGCTGCATGGTTAGCTGGCACTACCCTGCAAACCTTTTTTGAAGCTGCTTGCCGGCTGTCTGCTGATAAAGTAGTCCAAAATGTACGGCAGCGTTTTTTCAAAATGATAGGGGACAGGGGCATAACCAACTACAAAAAGCACTTTGCAGGGCCCCTTCGCATTTTAATGGGGCTTTCAAATTAAATTTTAATCCTTGTTCTTCTCTTTACAGGTAAACTGAGGCATACTAGACTTGAAACACTACTACATTAGTGTCTTCGATCTATTTTGCCAAAAGAAAATTGGTAAAACTAGTCACAGTAGGCAATGGTTCTATATGACATTGACTGACTGGTTTTTGAGATATATTTATCTCAAAGCCTACAAATTAAAAAAAAAAAAAAAAAAAAAAAAAAAAAAAAAAAAAAATCCACCGAGGTAAGTTAAGGTAAATAACTATAATGTGTACAAAGTCGGGTTTGAACATCTGTCCGTAAGAAAAAGAAGTAAACATTTTCCAGATTTGCGTTAGGCTGGAACAGTAAAGAATTTTTGTCGTTTCATAACACGTTCTTAATTTTCAAACCATGTTCTAAATTTTCATAAAACATTTATTGTTCTTAAATTTAAGAGCAAATTTGTTTTGTAAATTGCTTCCAAACACGTGTTCTTAAAATTAAGATGGATTTTTTTTACAGTGTGGCATTACTTCCATTCAGACGCATAACTTCCTTAATACGGATGAAATTCGCGTATAATGTACAATTTGATCCATATTACAGACGTACCTTCACCCGAAACGTATAAACCATTCGTCCATACCTTATGTATGAAGGCAATGCTTGTAATACGGATCAAATTATCCTTAATACGGACGATTTCTTCCCTATTACGGATGATTTGAGATCCGTATTACGTTTGCACAAAATTCTCCGTACGCGAGTCCGTCAGGAAATAAGTGATGGTTTGAGGAAAACTTGTCAGATTTTGAGGTATCTTCAGAATTCAAGAGAAGTTCCCTTTTCCCTGAAAATCAGACGTTGTTTTAACCCTTCACTCTCATTTCTTTATGGATGTGCTATCCTGTATGTTACGGTGAATTTTGTGCAAACGTATCATGGATCACATATCATTCATAATACGGATAAAATTGTCCGTATTGAGGACGTGCCCTTATCCGTAAGGTATCGACGCAAGGTCTGTACCCTAGGGATGAAGGCATGTTCGTAATATGGATCAAATTGTCTGTAATACGGACAATTTTATCCATATTATGGATGATTTGTGATCCATAATACGATTGCACAAAATTCTCCATGAGCGAGTCCGTAAGGAAATGAGAGTGCTTCCCCGGTCATCTCCCATTCTAACCATCTTTAATTGTTTCAGCCTGCAGAATCCATACTTGAGGGAATATTTCACTCTCAAAAGCCTGCAGAACCATGTGCAATATGAAAGGAGCAAGAGGTACCCACCAACACCGCGGTTCGTCCAGGAGGCAGCAACTCTCTTGACTAACCCGGACAACGGATACTTGGGTGAGTTGATGCCATACCGCCAACGGCATGCATGTACGCATTAGCCGTCACTGATTGTTACTTTTCTATTTGCAGCACGGACCGTTGATGATCAAGACGAGTTTTTCCAGGGGCAGGTGGGTGCCCCAGGAGAGGAAAGCTTGGTGTTTGCCAGCAGGCGGCTCCTGGCAATGATACAAAGGGACGATGTGGTTCAAGGTGACGACACATATAAAATCAGGCCTTACTTGAATAAGTCGAGGCATGTGTTTATAGTGTCCCTATATTCATATGGCCAAGTAAGTATACGGAGCAGACAGCGGTTGACCGTTTTTTTTTAAATTTCGTCAAGTGAAGGGATGTTACTTTAATCAGTCCTCTTTTTCTTTTCCATAGATGTTTCCTATTGCGTACGCCGTGATGACCAAGGGGACCACAACGGCGTACGCAGCTGTCCTTAATAAGCTCAAGGAGCTTGGGCTCCGCCCGCAAGCCGTGGTGACAGACTGGGACGATGCCCAGAGGGGTGCCTGGAAGGAAGTCTTCCCAAGAATTGAGCTATGGGGATGCTATTTCCATTTCCTGAGAGTAAGTACCATTCCAGTTATTGATTTGTGTTTAAATACCTCGTCATTTACTAATTATCGATCTTATCCCACAGGCCATATACAGGAAAGCAAAAAAGAAAAGTCTGGCATCTTACCTCAGCGACCCAGACATGTCGCAAGGAGAAGTAGCAAGGATCCTTCGAATGTGCGCGGCGATACCCCGGCTGAGTGCGGGCGACATTGAAGAAGGTTACAATCGTATCTGGAAAATGGCTCGTGACCTGCCGGGGGTGCCGGATAACGTGGCGAAGAAGCTTATGTCATTCCTGCGATATTTCAAAAGGGAATGGGTATCAAAGCCAGAGGAGGTCACCATAAAAGGCCGCCACGTTCATACCACTAGTGGCCAGGAAGGGCTCCACAAGTGGCTAAACACATGCCTCAACAACATGGACCGGCCGAGTTTTTGGAAGTTCATGGGTAAGTTATCGAACTCCTCGTTGATATTACTTTAGCAACCCCTTATTTTATGTTATTTTGTTTTCTTATTCATGTTTCGTTTCTTTTTACAGGAATAATCCGCCGGGATGAACACAAGTCCTATTATGAGTTAAATGGGATTGCTGTGACAGGCCACAAGACCGGGACAATGAGCGGAAAGAGACAGAAGACTAAGAATTTCAACAGTCGTGGACTAAAGTTTGACGCCGATATAATTGAAGCAACCAAATGCTTTGTGGCTAACCAAAGCATAACAAGTTTCCTGACGTTGGCGGCTGCAGGGGTGCGGGAGGCCATGCACTTTATCAGCCAATTTGGCGACGACGTCGAGCTCCCCGAGTAATTATTATTATTATTATCGAAGTTATTAACATATTGATATTTGCAGGCCGTACGAAGTCGACCCGGACGGGCCAGAGCCGGACTGTGGTGAGTACAACTCGTTGTATAATTGGGTCATCATTTATGAACTGATTTTAAAACCACACATTTCATTGTTTAAGACGATCCAGTGACTCCGCCCTCTACACTCTCATTTCCTTATGGACACGCTTACGGTGAATTTTGTGCTAACATATTATGGATCACAAATTATCCATAATATGGATAAAATTGTCCGTAATACAGACAATTTGATCCATATTACAGACATGCCTTCATCCGTAGGGTTTGGACGAAAGGTCTATTACCTGTTGAGCTAACAGTGAATCCAAATCCGTCAGAATCTCAAACAGGGTGTCAAAACGAACCCCTCCAGTGATTTTGCGATTTTTACCCAGCATAGGAAGCGACCTACGCGTGATTTTGTCGTGTATGAGGTAATTTTGAACCATTTTTCGAACGTAGACTCTTTCCACTGCTGGGTAAAAATCTAAATCCGTCAAAATCTTAAACAGGGTGTCAAAAGGAACCCCTCCAGTGATTTTTGGAATTTTACCCAGCTTAGTTTTTTATTTTTGGTGGAGAAAGTCGAAAAAAATCCTGGCCAGGAAATTTTCCTGGCCAACTTTAGACCGGTGGAATACCCCCGTCATCGTGGTGGACGGACTCCTTTCCCTGACCGAGCTGCTCCTCGAGGTGAACAGGGCGATCAAGCGGCACACCTGCTGCTCCGCCGATAGTAATGCCACGGACTGTACCGCGCGCCAGCCTCGGGGCGCCGAACCAAGCATTGTTGAGCCCTTGACCAACGCCGCACGGCCGCCGAGCCGCGGCCGGCGCGCCCCCCACCCTCCACGAAGTGCCGCCCGAAGCGCCCAGAGCACCCCGACGCCTCAGTCTTCCAGCCGCATCCGAGCACGATGCAAGGTCCCGTCCCGCGAGCCCGCGTCCTGGAAGAAGTGCAAAAGATCAGGCGATTAAGGATCGTACAGCGCTACAGAAGCCTTTTTGGAAGTGACCCCGAGGCAAGGTCCTACAGTAGGTTGTGTCACTTGGGGTATCGTGCTCTCATTGGTTGACAGATCGTGACGTCAGCGTCAGTTCGCTCGCGCCAGATTTGAAAATAGCTGTCAGCTCAATTTTATTTTAACAGTAATTATCCGAACGGACTATAAAAATATACCATTGGTGAGGCATAAACAAGGTGTAGGAATACTTTGAATGACGAAATTCAACCGGATCGTTTGTTTGCGAACTGATAAGTAACGGAGAAGAGTCAACCTAACCTCTAATCCAATATGGCCGCCCTCCTCGCACCGGTGGCCGGCAGGTTCTAAGAGATGTCATCCGTTTCATATCTCCCTACAGAACGATCATCCAAGTCCAAATGTGGTGCAATATCTAAGTAGGGGACAAAATAATGATGTTCTCGGTATTATTTTTCCTTAAAATGAATATTGTGAGTGAAATTGTGTGAACACTCGATCAGCTATTTGAACTACGGCGCGAGAGTACTGACACTGACGTCACGATCAGTCAACCAATCAGAGCACGATACCCCAAGTGACACAACCTACTGTAGGACCTTGACCCCGAGGATACTACTACCAACTCAGAGATCGAGACAGCCATAGCGAGAGAAAACGCCATGCGTGCGATGCGCCCCAGCACGCCGGTCCCAGAGGCCCTCGAAATACACCCTTCAGCCGGCGACTTAGCGGCCCTGGAGGAGCCGGCCAAGCCCAGGTATTCCACCCCAAGCAAAAGAAGACGAGGACGGCCAGAAATCCGAAGGCACCGAATCTCTCGGAGACGGCCGGGCAAGGGAATAAGAAGTATGAAGAGAAAATCAAGAAAGTAAAGAAGATCGAGAAGAAGAAAGTGAAGGTCACCAAAGAGAAGACCACTTTAGTCCCAAAGGTCCTCCTCACCCGAGTGAAGGGCCAACTCCCACAAATTGAGACGTGGACTATCCCTAAGAATGCCGCGCCCACGGCCACCGTGACCTCCTCCGTACTGATAGAACCCGTGGCACCACCACCCATCACCTACGGCCCCAAGGAGACCCAGAAGGCCCCCGTCACCGCCACAGTGACAACCGCCACCGCGGCCAGTGAGTGGGACGACCTACCGGCCCTCACGACCAACTACGGATACGCCACGGCCGCGGGGACGACATCGACCACCCTGACCCCTTCGGCACCAGCACCAGCCATTGTTCAAACAGGTAATGTACCGACACCATGTGCTGCCGCCCCTCACGAGACCATCACCGTGAGGGTGAACAACGGGGAAAGGGAGGTGCAGGTGGGAGCGTGGCCTTCCCCACCAGTCCTCCAAGACCTGACAATCACCACCCCCACCCTGAGAAACCCCGAACCTTCGGGATATTTCACTAAGGAATACCTCAAGGAGCAAGAAGTGGCCCTCGAGCACTGGAGGCAAACACAGGGCAAGAACGACAGGTGCCCAAACTGCAGAGGAAGAAACCACGACTTCAAAAACTGCACCAGGCCCTCAGCAGCATCTTTGAAAGAAACAGCAAAACTACTTGGTTTTCCCGTGACAAACCAATCAAGAAAACGGATGAAGATTGAACAGGAACCTACTATGCATGAAATAATGCAAATCATCCACCAGTTGGTTCCACCTCCTCAGCTGACAGAGCTGGATAAATAGCGAAGTAATGTTAAGGTTTTTAATAGTGAGCCTTTCCCTTTCTCGTTTCGCTGAGTTCGTCGTTTTCTTTTTCTAATCTACCTGTAATGGTTGGGTTTGTCATTTGTAAATGTACTTTAAACAATTATTTTATTGAACTTATTTTGTTTTGAATACTCAGACAAATGATTAGTTTTCTCTCTAATCCTAACTTTTAATTTATCAACCCTAAATAATGCTTCGTTTTGGCATTTAAATAATATTCGTCCTTAATTTGTTCTTTTGTGACCATCACTCAACCTTAGACGATATTTACTTGTCCACTTGTTCTACAAACTGTCACTGATTGTTCTGAAGTTTTGAATAATTATCTTGATTTTGAAAAACTGAGTTTAACCTTGCTTTTCCCACCTACTTAAAAACAAAACACATCTAACCTTACTGGCAGAACTGTGTCACTACCTTTTCTAGCTATGTTCAGGCCTATCGGAGTGTGTCAGTGACCTCTCAGACTGTGTCGAAAACAACACTAACTCTCTAAAACACTAAACTAACAGAACTGTGTTACTACCTGTTCGATTTGAATGGAACCTGTCTCTAGTGTGTGCTCGAACCTCAGAGACTGTGTGAAAACAAACACCAACAAAAATACTAAACCAAACGACTGTGTGTCCACCTGCCGTTCTGGATCTAAGCTTGTCATCTGTGTTTTTAACCTTTCGACCAAGCACAAAAGAATAACGGGAGAGCAAGGCAGACCTAATCTTTAAATTTTGAAAAATCTAATTTAACTATTTTTGAGAAAGTAAAAGAAGATAATGCTAGACACTAGAACTTTAAACTCCTACTAACCTAGACTAACTAGATTCAAACAAGGCAAATCTCACTAACCTTCGGAGCTGTCGAGTAGTTCATATATATAATCCTTAGAAGTCACTCGTTCATGGGAAAAGCTGAGTCCTTCTCATCCGACCAAATTCCAATTCAAATTAGATTTGTAAGTATACTTCTGCTCTTTCATTCTCTTCTCTCCCCCTCTCCGAAATCAATACGTAAAATAAATCATAGTGAATTAAAAATTGAAAGAAAAGAGAAAGGAAAAGAATAACAGAAAAGGAAGCTTACTGTGCATTTGGTGGGGCCCAAGTTAATGGCCCCGTAAAAATCACTGCTCCACGGCTCGATCAGCAATTTGCTTGTGCAGCTGTATCGACACCGTTAGTCCACTTATTTTACACTCTTCCGTCTCGCCCACCGGACGACTCTTCTCCTTTGAGGACAGCCTTTGCGAGGCGAGCCTCAGTCTCGGCCCCCCTTCATTCCCTTCACGAAATGGTCAACACGGACAAACCCGTTGGAATCACCTACTTGGGAAGAAAACTGAAGACCTCATCTCACCACAAGTTCAAGACAAGGAGCCCCTAGAGATCAATGCAGAGCACCGCGACTCCCAAACCAACGAATTACGGACAACTTTTAAACAGTTAAGTATTGTGAAAATTAAATTTAGTTAAGGAAGGTCAGGGACCAATGGTGTCTTAGATAGGTTTAGCCAGTGGTAGGACGACACCCAGTTGATCTTTAACTTACCCAAGTTAAAGACTAGCCAGGATGATTAATCTGTGCAAAGCTTTGTCTGTTTCTTTTGTTGCAGTTTTCTCACCTCAACTAACCCACTTTGGTCGAGTCCTTTCAAGTGGTCAGCGACGATGTGTCTAAGACCCTACTGCAGAGGGCCTCCTTCAGCTTTCCCTTGACACAACTCGTGATGGACCTCGACCACCCTATTTTCCTTTTTGTTTGTGAACCGAGTACCTGCGATCCATGGTCTGACAAACCTGGGTCAACACGCTGTGTGTATGGACTTGAGTTCATACTTTGCAGACCTTCTTGCGAAGAACCAAGACTCTCACCAGTGCTGAACCAAGTGAAACTTACTGAACTTTTAACGTTTATTCTTGTTTGAAATACTGCAACGTCTTGATGCAACTTTAACTTGTGAGCCTATTGATTATTGACTAGTTTAATTCGAATCTTGCCAAGATGTTGTTTCGGTTTTATTTCTGAATAACTCTATTGCTTAACTTCAATCTCTGGTTTTGTTTAACGCTGCTTTTCTTAAACTTTCAATCTGTTAATTAAGGACCTTTTAAATATCTGACCTATCTTAACTTGTTTGTAATGTATAAGGCTAGAGAAATTTTATATCAATGGTTATGGTTTAAATTTTATAAACTTAACTCTTAAAGTGTATCGGACCTTTTCGGAAATCTTTCAAAGGGAGGTATGGTGTTGTGATTAGACAAATACATTATAAACAAACTTAACCTAATCTGCTTAGACCTATGCATGGCGCCATGACAGTCCATACTCTTCAGAGGACCCCTACCAAACCAGACCATACTTCTCCAATACCTTGTACCCCCTCTACTACAGCTAACCCATTTTTCTTGTATTCTTCTTGGTTTTCCCTTTAAAAGCGGCTCGCGCCAAGCCTCTGTTGCCCAGTCTTGAACTGTTAGTTGTCGAGCTCCCTAGTCATGCTTTTAAATATGAGATGCTCTCTTCGGTATGTCTATCTTCTCTCGGAATCACATACCGAACGACGAGTTTACTTGTGGTTGTTAGCTGATCAGTTTTCGACTTAGAAGTAAGTATCTGTTAGTATATGTGTCACGGTGGGGTTTACACAAGTATAAAGGCTTAATCGTTTGAGTAGTAATTCGGTATTCTTATTGGATTCATAGGTCTTTTTTAAGGAACGTATCTGTCAATGGCGGAAGACCACGTGGGTTGAGGGGTTATATTTGTATTTTTGGCTGAGCGATTAGCGAAGCCTATTACTCCAGTGATGATCAAAAAGTTTCGTGTCTGTCTGTGTGTCTGCCTCTCTGTCTGTGTGTGTGTGTTTGTCATCACGATAACTCGAGAACGAATTGAGCTAGCGACCTGGAATTTTTAGGGTCGTTTTGCGTCATAAAAAGACAGATCAAGTTCGAAGAAGAGCATTCTAGCCCAAAAACTGGATTTAAAAACAAGGTAGATGTACGCCAGACCACGTCTCGCGTAACAGGCTTCGCGATATCTCACGAAACACTGTTACGCTGCGACGCACCTGGCATACATCTACCTTGGCCTGCGGCGCTGACACCCGAGTCGCCAAGTGCAAATATGTAGACAAAGATACGGACCTCCGGCCCGTCAACGGCCCGTCACTTCGACTAAGCATGTAGGATCGTACATTTTTTCGCTTATTTTCGTTAAAAACGCCCTCTAGCGCCTCAACGGTTTGAGCTAGAGCAAAACGGACAAAATTTTTGCCCAAAAGGCTCTACTTTGATGAGTTACCTCCTAGGAAACCATAAAAAAAATAATTGGCTGAGCGATTAGCGAAGCCTATTACTCCGTCTGGTCGGAAAAAACTTTTTCTGTCTGTCTGTCTGTCTATCTGTCTGTCTGCACGTCTGTCTGTCCGCACGATAACTCGAGAACGGATTGAGCGAGCGACCTGGGATTTTCAGGGTCGTTTTCTACCTAAAAAAGACAGGTCGAGTTCGAAGATGAGCATTCTAGCTCAAAAACTGGATTTTTAAAAAATCAAAA